GTTAAACATAATAAAAAAAATCAAGATTATGGCAACCAGACTGATTGATAACTGGCACATAGAGGGAGAAAACGTGGAGGCAGCGACAGACTTTGTATTTCTAGGTGCAAAGATTACTGCAGATGCAGACTGTTAGCCAGGAAATCAGAAGACATTTACTTCTTGGGAGGAGAGCAATGACCAATCTCGATAAAACAGTGAAGAGCAGAGACATCACACTGGCAACAAAGATTGGCAGAGTTAAAGCAATGGTATTCCCTGTAGTAACCTATGGATGTGAGAGCTGGACCTTAGGGAAGGCTGAGCGAAGGAAGGCAGATGCTTTTGAACTGTAGTGTTGGAGGAAAATTCTGAGAATACCTTGGACCGCAAGAAGATCCAACCAGTCCATATTCCAGGGAATAAAGCCCAACTACTCATTGGAGGGAAGCATATTAGATAAAGAGACAAAGATGAAGTACTTTGGCCACATCATGAGAAGACAGGAAAGCTTGGAGAAGACAATGATGCTGGGGAAAATGGAAGGGAAAGGGAAGAGGGGCCAACCAAGGGCAAGATGGATGGATGGTATACCTGAAGTGACTGGCTTGACCCTGAAGGAGCTGGGGGTGCTGACATCCGACAGGGAGCTCTGGCGTGGGCTGGTCCATGAGGTCATGAAGAGTCGGAAGTGACTCAATGATTCTATGATTCTAAGAATCATTCTAGGAAACTCTGAAAGGTTTGCATTACAGTCACCATGAAGGCGCACTATGACAACAATAGAAACAACAAATAAAAGTCTGAGTTATAACCCAGAAAAAACAGCTGTCTAGTGTCAGCTGTTGGTAGAAAAATGGAGCATAAATTGAAAAATAAAATAGATAATTTACGTATAGACACCCATAAAATTAAAATAAAATATTCCCTCTCCATTATTAAGGACCAGTCTAATGATCTTTTGCTCACATTCCACAATACCATAATAAGCTCCCTCCCAATGAAGCAATAGATTCAAACTACGGGAAAAGAAATTCCACTTAAATATTAAAAATAACTTGCTGATGGCAAGAGCTCTTCAGTGTTGGAACATTCTGCCGTGGAATGTGACAGTGTCTCCTTTGCTAGAGATTTTTAAACAGAAGGTGGATGGCGCTGCTTTGAATGTACAGGCATTCCCCAAGTTAAGAACAAGATAGGTTCTGTAGGTGTGTTCTTAAGTTAAATTTATATGCAAGTTGTAATAGGAACATTTTTAAGTGTAACTCCAGCAGTATATATAGTATAGAGAGACAAGTGCGGGAGGGAGAGCGCTTTGGATAGCATAGGGAAGAGTTAACACCCCTGTTAACACCCCTGTTGTGTTTGTTTTGCTTCTCTGTGCCCCTGTTTGGAATATTTCACCTCATAGTCCGTCCCTGTGCCAAGTTTAAACAAGATCCATCATTGTTTGAGTCCACAATGCTTTCTGGATATAGGAGAACTACAACTCCAAAACTCAAGGTCAATGCCCACCAAACCCTTCCAGTATTTTCTTCTGGTCATGGGAGTTCTGTGTGCCAAATTTGGTTCAATTCCATTGTTGGTGGAGTTCAGAATGCTCTTTGATTGTAGGTGAACTATAAATCCCTGCGACTTCAACTCCCAAATGACAAAATCAACCCCCCCCAACCCCACCAGTATTCAAATTTGGGCATAACAGGTATTTGTGCCAAATTTGGTCCAGTGAATGAAAGTATATCCTACATGTCAGATAATTACATGACGATTCCTAACAGTAGCAAAATGACAGTTATGAAGTAGCAATGTAAATAATTTTATGGTTGGGGGTCACCACAACATGAGGAACTGTATTAAGGGGTCACGGCATTAGGAAGGTTGTTGACCACTGTATTAGATGATCCTTGTGGTCTCTTCCAACTCTGTGATTCTATGATTCAGGGAATGATTTGGTTTGTAGGACAGTGAATAGAATATGGGAGCAAGCATTCCTATAATACTCGCTGGGAAGGCAAAGCAGGATAGCCTCTGGTGAGTCAACACACATTCCTTCTTGGGTGGGGAAGGGGGAGAAGCAAACTTTGGAGACTTCCAAACATGGGTCTGGTTTTTACCTGGAACTTCCCTGAGTCACAAACCATGAACAGGATGCTAGAGTGTAAAGCACCACATTGCTCAACATGGCTGAAAATACTACCGGAAGTAGGGGTGTTCATTTGTCATCCAGGTGTAACCTTCTGTGCTAGCAGTGCATCACTGTTATTTTAGAACAGGTATGAGCAAACTTTGGCCCTCCAGTTGTTTTGGACTCCAACTTCCACAATTCCTAACAGCCTCAGGCCCCTTCCTTTTCCCCCTCAGCCACTACATTACAGGATTATCTGCTATGGCTCAATGCAAAGGAATCATGGGTGTTGTAGTTTCACAAGGGGTTTTGCCCTCTCTGCCAAAGAGTGCTGATGCCTCATCAAACGACAAACCCCATAGCATTGAAGGATGGCAGTAAAAGTGGTGTCAAACTACATTAATTCTGAAGTGTAGATGCCCCCTAGGTCCTCATTCAGAGGAAAACACAACTCAGGACAGATGGTCCAATGGAAGAAGTGCCTAGATCCAGGGAAGTCATGCCACCCCTCTATTTTGCCTTGCTCAGACCACACCTGGAATACTGCGTCCAATTCTGGATACTACAATTGAAGAGAGATATTGACATGCTGGAAGATGTCCAGAGAAGGGCGACTAAAATGATCAAGGGTCTTAGAACAAGCACTATGAGGAGTGGCTTAAGGAACTGGGCATGTTTCAGGCTGCAGAAGAGAAGGCTGAGAGGAGACATGATGAGGGTCATGTATAAATATGTGAGGGGAAGTCATAGGGAGGAGGGAGCAAGCTTGTTTTCTGCTGCCCTGGAGACTAGGACACAATGGAACAATGGTTTCAAAGTACAAGAAAGGAGATTCCACCTGAACATGAGGAAGCACTTTCTAACTGTGAGAGCTGTTCAGCAGTGGAACTCTCTGCCTCAGAGGATAGTGGAGGCTCCTTCTTTGAAGTCTTTGAAACAGATCCTGGATGGACATCTGTCGGGGGTGCTTTGAATGTGATTTTCCTTCTTCTTGGCAGGGGGTTGGACTGGATGGCCCACGAGGTCTCTTCCAACTCTATGATTCTATGAAAAGCAGTCACAGATAATGAAAATAAAAGGGGAGAATAAAATCCAAACCAAGTGCTTCTGAACAAGGACAAAGTCCATTTCCCAAACTAAAAATATACAGATGTTTATATCTGTTTATAAGTGTGATAGTTGGGACTTAAATTGGTTAATAAATACTCATGACCTGCTGCTACCCCTTTGCTTCAGACGGACCCAGAGTGGGATGTGGTCACATAGAGAAGCCCAGCAAAATGTGGGAGACTTTCAGGTGCCAGCAGACTTCTTGGGTTGAATTGTCAAAAGCTTTCATGGCTGGAATCACTGGGTTGTTGTAGGTTTTTTGGGCTGTATGACCATGTTCTAGAAGCATTCTGTCCTGATGTTTCACCTGTATTTATGGCAGGCATCCTCAGAGGTTGTGAGGTTTGTTGGAAACGAGGAAAATTGGGTTTATATATCTGTGGAAGGTCCAGGGTGGGAGAAAGAACTCTTGCCTGCTTGAGGCAAGTGTGAATGTTGCAATTGGCCACCTTGATTAGATTTTATAATTTTATAATATACTAGCCATGCCCTGCCACGTGTTGCTGTGGCCCAGTCTAGTGATTCCTATGTTATCCTCTATTACAGTTTCTCAACCTGGGGGTCAAGACCCCTGGGGGGTCATGAGGGGGTGTCAGAAGGGTTACTAAAGACAACAGTATTTTCTGTTGGTCATGGGGATTCTGTGTGTGAAGTCTGGCCTATTTGCATCATTGCTGGGGTTCAAAATGCTCTTTGATTGCAGGTGAACTATAAATCCCAGTAACTACAACTCCCAAATGTCAAGGTCTATTTCCCCCCAACTCCATCTGTGTTTATATTTTAGCATATGGAACATTCGTGCCAAGTTTGGTCTAGATCTTTCATTGTTTGAGTCGACAGTGCTCTCTGGATTTTTGTGAACTACAACTCCAAAACTCAAAGTCAATGCCCACCAAACCCTTTCAGTATTTTCTGTTGGTCATGGGAGTTCTGTGTACCAAGTTTGGTTTAATTCCATTGTTGGTGGAGTTCAGAATGCTCTTTGATTATAGGTGAACTATAAATCCCAACAACTACAACTCCCAAATGACAAAATCATGTTTTGAGTGATGGTCACTCCTTGTGTTGTGAGATGTTTTGTTGCCAAATTTGGTGTGATTTTGTTCATTGGTTCTTTTAAGGTACTCATTATGCACAGCGCATTTATATATATATAGATAAGCCTTTATAATGTTGGAGACCGCTTTGAGTTCCCTTAGGGGGAGAAAAGCAGTATATAAATGTAGTAAATAAATCATTAAATTTGATGGCCTGGTAGCCTGGGAAATTTCTTTGTTGAGAGGTGATTAGTTGTTCCTGATTGTTTCTTGTCTGGAGTTCCCCTGTGTTTGAGTTTTGTTTTTTGGATGTTTATTTACTGTTATAATTTTAGAGTTTTTCTTAATGCTGGTAGCCCGATTTTGTTCATTTTCATGGTTTCTTCCCTTCTGTTGACGTTGTCCACATGCTTGTGGATTTCAAGGGCTTCACTGTGTGGCCTTCTGGGGTTGGTTTTGCCGCAGCAGACTTAACCCCTGGACGCTACAGAATGGATGTACCCTCACCTGCCATGCCCCAATGCTATGGAATCAGGGAAGTTGTAGTTCGACAAGGTTTTTAGAGACTTTTCTACCCAGGAGTGCTGGTGGAAGGCGAGATTACAACTCCTATGATTCCCTAGCATTGAGTTATGGGAGTTAAGCGGTGTCAAGTTGCCTTCCTTGCTCCGTGCAGATGCGCCCGGGGAGGGGCCATCCCTGGGAAGGAAGGAAGGAAGGAAGGAGGGAAGGAGGGAGGGAGGGAGGGGCGGCTGCAGGGCGCGGCCTGTCCGGCAGGGGGCGTGGGCGGCGTGCGCGCCCCTGAGTCCGCCTCCAGCCCCGCAGGCAGCCGGACGCTTCCTCGCCGCCTCTCCGTCCCTCTCCGGCCCCTCGGGTGGCTCTCGGTCCCCGGCATGGCAGCGCCCGCCGACTCCGGCTACATCCGCACTGTCCTCGGGCAGCAGATCCTGGGCGAGCTGGACAGCTCCACCTTGGCGCTCCCCTCCAGGCTCTCGGGCGGCCGAGCCGAGGCTCAGAAGTCGCTCCGCATCCAGCGGCAGGTCCAGCAGACCCTGGCCAGGAAGAGCCGCGGCTCCTTGGTCAACGGTGAGTCCCAGGCACTCCTCTCCAACTCTTGCGGGAACTTCTTCCTCTTCTTTTCCTCCCTCCTCCTCCTTTTCTTCTCCCTCCTCTCCTTTTTCTTCCTCCCCTTCCTCTCTTCCTTCTTCTACGCTTCCACTTCTTCCTCCTCCTCTTCCTTCTTTTTCCTCCCCCTTCTTCTTTTCCTTCTGTGAGAGCTGTTCTTTAGAGGCTTTTAAGCAGAGGCTAGATGGCCATCTGTCAGGGGTGCTTTGAATACTATTTTCCTGCTTCTTGGAAGAAAGGGGTTGGACTGGATGGCACCTAGGATTCTCCTCTTCCCCCCCCTCCTCTTCCACTCTTCTTCCTTTTTCTTCTTCCCGCTTCTTCTTCTCTCCCCCTCTTCCCCTTCCCTCCTCTTTCTTCCTCCTCCTTTCTTCCCTCCTCCTCCTCCTCTTCTTTTTCTTCCTCTTTTTCTTCCTTTCTCTTCTTTTCCTTCTCCTCCTCGCCCTTTCCTCTCCTCCTTCTCCTCTTCCACTTCTTCTTCCTCTTCTTCCTACCTCTTCTTCTCTTTCTCCTCCTCCCCTTCCTCTCCTTCTCCTCTTCCACTTCTTCTTCCTCTTCTTCCTACCTCTTCTTCTCTTTCTCCTCCTCCCCTTCCTCTCCTTCTCCTCTTCCACTTCTTCTTCCTCTTTTTCCTACCTCTTCTTCTCCTTCCTCTTCCCTCCTTCTCCCCTTCCTCTCCTTCTCCTCTTCCACTTCTTCTTCCTCCTTTTTCTTCTCCTCCTCCCCTTCTTTTCTTCTTTCTCCTCTTCTTCCACTTCTTCCTCCTCCTCTTCTTCTTCTTGGAGGTGCCCCCTTTAAATAAAAGGAAATAGGCAGCATATAGGGCCCTATCCTGGAATCTTCAGACTCTAGGGTGTGTGTGTGTGTGTGTGTGTGTGTGTGTGTGTGTGTGTGTCAGGAGTGACTTGAGAAACTGCAAGTCGCTTCTGGTGTGAGAGAATTAGCTGTCTGCAATGATGTTGCCCAGGGCATGCCCGGATGCTTTTTGTATGTTTTTACCATCCTTGTGGGAGGCTTCTCTCATGTCCCTGCACGGGGAGCTGGAGCTGACATAGAGAGCTCATCTGCGCTCTCTCCGGATTCAAACCTCTGACCTGTCAGTCTTCGGTCCTACCAGCACAAGGGTTTAACCATTGCACCACTGTGGGCTCCTTCTAGACTCTAGCTGCACCTGTAGAATTAATGCAATTTGACATTGCTTTAACCACAGCCCCTTTCACACAACTGTATAAAATACACATGGAACTGGATTATATGTTAGTGCAGGCTCTGATAATCTAGTTCAAAACAGATATTTTTGTATGATCTACTTTGACATTCTGGGTTATGTGGCTGTGTGGAAGAGCCTTGCCATGGTACAATACTGTAGGATCCTGGAAGTTGTAGGTTGATCCTAGAAGTTGTAAGTTTTGTGGCAGAGAAGGCTAAGGGCCTTGCAAACCGGCAGCTCTCCGGATTGCAAGGCATTGAGACCCAATTCTAGTACCTTCAGACTCTGATCCCTTCTGGTCAGGAAAAATCAGTGGTGAGTCCAAATGAAAGGGGAGGCAGCAAAATACTACTTGGTCCTGGTATCTTCACATTCTGATGCCACTTGTAGTAAAAGAAACCTGAATTTTGCCCCAGGCCTCTCCCCTGCTGACTTTTCCCCTTTTAAAAGGAGAGGATCTGCTGCATTCAAAGCTAGAGGCTTTCAATGGCTTAAAAACAACTTCAGGTGATATTGAAACCTCTCCCTTTGAAATCAGCAAATCGCATGACTTGAAACTGCTTCAGGCATGAAGTGGACTCGGCCGCACAGTCTTGTGTAGGGTTTGCTCCCAAAGACCCATGAGTGGGATTTTCAGGTCTGAATATGTAGAAAGAAATGTGTACCTAAACGGTAGAATTAATGCAGTTTGACACCACGTTAACTGTCTTGGGTTTGTATGTGTGTGTCAGGAGCAAATTGAGAAACTGCAAGTTGCTTCTGGTGTGAGAGAATTGGCCATCTGCAAGGACATTGCCAAGAGGATGCCTGGATGTTTGATGTTTTACTACCCTTATGGGAGGCTTCTCTCATGTCCCCGCATGGGGAACTGGAGCTGACAGAGGGAGCTCAACCCACTCTCCCCGGATTCGAACCACTGACCTTTTAGTCAGTAGTCCTGCTGGTACAAGGCTTACATGGTACCACCAGGGCTCCAACTGTCTTGGGTCAATGCTATGGAATCTTGAGTTTTGTCATTTGGTAACGCTACAGCCCCTTTCAGCGGGAAAAAAAAGGTTAAAGACTTTGTAAAACTACAACTCTCAGGCTTTCATAGCATTTAGCCATGGCAGTTAAAGTGGTGTACTTGTACTAATTAATTGTATTAATTCTACTGTGTGGAATAGAGGCACCTGAAGTCGGTCCTGTAATTTGTTGGGTCTTATGGGGCTTTCTTTTTCCTACGAATGTCTTGAGTTGCAGCAGAGCTGGTGTTTTCAATGTATTATAGTTGTGCCAGGGTTACTTCATTTCCCTGTGTTCTTACCTGTGTTTTTTTCCATCCACTTGTTTGTTTGTTTTTTCAACTTCTAGCTCCTATGTTTCCAGTGCTCAGACCTCTACATCAGGGGTAACTCCTTATTACAGTCTAGCTGTCTCCGACACACGTTGCTGTGGCCAACCTTCCCTCCCTTTTTCTCTTCTTTCTTTCTCTCCTTCCTTCCCTCTGTCTTTCCTTCCTTCCTTCCCTTTTTCTTTCTTTCTCTCCTTCCTTCCTTCTCTTCTTCTTCTCTTCCATCCCCCCACCATTTCTTTCTCTTTCTCTTTCTCCCCTTTCTTCCTTCTCTCCTTATTCTTGGATTGCAGCTCCCAGCAGTCCTCCTGATCCATCTGTCTATCTACCTACCTATCTATCTCCATCTAATCTATCTATCTGGAGGATTGCTGGGAGTTGCAGTCCAGGAATAGAAAATTGGAAATATGCAGGGATTGGGATGTTAACAAAGAAATGCCAGGAGAAGAAAGCTTGCAGCTCGGAAACAGTGAATTTGGATCATCTTTCTCTCCTAAAAGGCCTGGTGTAGGGGATTTTGGGAACTGTAGTCTGTAAGAGAGTGTGGATAGGCTATTGTGTGTTTTGTTTGCCGGGGGGGGGGGGGGTCATTTTTGCGTATGCGCTGTAGCATTTTTTTGCTTTTTGGCTTTTTAAGTTCCTTCTGTTGTGTTTTTCATGAGTGAAGAAGGTCACTTGTTGGTCTGATAGAAGTATTGTGTCCAAATTTGGTGTCAATTCAGCCAGTGTTGAGTTATGTTAATCCCACGAATGAACATTACATTGTCAAAGGCTTTCATGACTGGAATCACTGAGTTGTTGTAGGTTTTTCAGGCTATATGGCCATGTTCTAGAAGCATTCTCTCCTGATGTTTCACCTGCATCAATGACAAGCATCCTCAGAGGTTGTGAGGTCTCTGAGGATGATTGTCATAGATACAGGTGAAACATCAGGAAGGAATGCTTCTAGAACATGGCCATATAGGCCCAAAAACCTACAACAACCCAGAACATTACATTTTTATTTATATAGATTACAGACCTCTTTCTTATCAGAAACATGGAAGCAGGGGAAGGGAATCTCTGCTTATTTTGACTGTAGGAAACATCAGAGGGCAGCATTAGGTCTTCTTTGTGGTCTCTAGATGCAGTGAGGATTTTGTCAAAGACTGTTGTGGTTACATGCACAGGGTTTAATGCAGTGGTTCCCAGCCTATGGGTCCCCAGATGTTTTGGCCTTCAGCTCTCAGAAATCCTAATAGCTGGTAGACTGGCTGGGATTTCTGGGAGTTTTGGGCCAAAACACCTGGTGACCCACAGGTTAAGAACCACTGGTTTAATGTCACTAAAATTCAGTGGTCGTAATTCAGTGTGTGGCACATGTAACCATCCGGCCTTCTTTTTTTTTCCCACCTCTAGCCCCTATGTTTCCAGAACAATTAAATACATAAACATTGCAAAAATGCCACAAATACACACATCAAAATGTATTTCTATGAAAGATACATATTAAAACGTATTTCTATAAAATACTTATTAAAATACACAAAACAGATTAAACAAAGGACACGCAGCTCAAGGGTCACATTCATATTGTACCCCTCCATCCTCAACTTGGCTGATCAGAAATCCACTGAAGTAGAGGCAATCTGTGTTCTTTTATGTGGCAGACAACTTTGAGGCCAGGTTTTAAATCTATGCTTTTCATTTTAGAACGCCTTCTCTATGCAGCTGCTTTGTGCAAATACATCACAATATCGAATATTCCCTCTGAAACTGGTGACACCCAGCCAAACCTTTTCATTCACGTAGAATAACCCTGCCCATAGCTTGACTCATCCGGAAAGACTTTCTTGTTGTACTCCTTGCCCTCAAGGCACCTTCCTGTATTCCTCAATTACTCTGCTTCTTTTCTCCAGGCTGCTCACCAGCACACACCTTAATTATTTCTATTTTGCATATCCTTTAGATAGACTACTTAAGATTTGGAGATGATGTGGTTTCTCTTCCATGCGCACACTCAAATGTTGCAATGATTGGGTGGCTTTGGTGTGCGTCTGGCCCATTACGGATGCTTCCATGTTTGGCAAATGAACGACTTGTCTTAGCCTTTATCCTATATCTCTGAAATGAAATAATCTTCCCCTCTAATGGCTACGTATAACAAACATTGGAATTGCAGCCTGTGGAATTGCAAGGGTTTGAACAGGATTGGCAAAATCCAGGTTCAAACATTGTAAAGTTGACTTAACCTGTGCCACAGAGTTCTTTTGAGGATTAAATGGGGAGGACACGAGAGAGGAAAGAAACCAGTTTACATTCCGTATACAGTAGCACTCAACCTTTGCAGGGATTAGGGACACGGGACCCTCGTAAAAATGTTCTGCACCATAGCCAAGGAATGATGGGAACTAGCACAAATTGTCCATCTGTGGGAGT